AAACTTAGCTGTTGCAAAAAGAAGGTGGAATAATTTCTGTCGAAAGTGTGCGCGGCAAAAAGTGATACCGCGAAGGAAAGCCGGGTGAAGTCATGGCGAGAGAACGAAAGTCTCGCGCGGAGGCCCTCGAGGAGAATAAGAATAAAAGACGCGGTCGAATCGTCTGAATTCGGGCGTGAATCATCGCGATACGTATATACGAGCTCGTGTGCAAGTGTACCGAGAGCGTTGGTTAGCCGTGAGAAAGAAACTTCGCGGCGGAAAGTATTCCACGCGACACAGAAAGAAATCTGCAAACGGTGTTGAATATTAAAAGTGACACCGGTTGTACGTTTTCTGTTTTTTCCACGTTGTATGTACATACATACCCGGTAAGGTTAAGTACGAGGTGGAGGGAGGAGACGTGGCAGTAAAGAAATAAGCACGTAACGCGTCATGAATTTTCATGTAAATCACGCGTCCATTACGATTTATCAAACCCCCATTGTAACGCCGCATACCTCCATGGCAGCGCGATGCGTGGCGAAGTTACGAGCAGATTAAACACCGCCTAGGGGCGTATTAACGCGTCCAACGATCTAAGTATCAAGAGAGACGCGCGCGACCCTCTTTCCTTGATAATGGATTTTAAACACTCGTCCGATTTTAAACGTCGAGCGTTTAATTGCCCGACGTGCAACACGGGACGGACTTCGGATCCTTATCGTTGCCAATCGTCGGATAGCAGAGTTATTCGAACTTGTTCTTTCTCGCTCGAGATAGATATCGAAGATCCCTTCGATCGAGGAGTTTTCCTTGTACCGCGAGATTTGCTGTTTACACCTCATCTCCCTGATTTGTACGACTCTACTCTACTTTGTGTTGCGACGCGAAAGATGGAAAGGATTCTATGGAATTTTCTTTTGTAAGATTGTGTTTTATTTCAGTGCGTTTTTCTTGAGGTATGGTGAAGTGTGTTGTTTTCCAGTGAGAATGGATTTATATAATTTTAGATTAAAATATTTATCCTTTCATTCGCCATGTGGATATAGTATTACGTTCGTATCGTAATACATTTCTTCGATGTATATCTACACTGTATATCTACAATCCACGGCTCGAATCGTAATTAAATCGAAAATCATCTCTTCCTACGTTGAAAATGCACTCCCGTGAAAAGAATTCTTTACACGCTTTCCAAGCATCAAAGCGTATTTACGAATCTCTTATCTATCGCGTAACGCGTGCAAAAGTCAAAACAAACATTTTCCCGCAACTGCTACATAATTCAAGAATGAAAAGATTAAAAGCAAAAAGAAAGAAAAATAAACTAAATTAACACGTTATATAGATATGGGTTGAATTTTTTCATACTCTAATCTCGTCTGCGCATCTAAGGATTATTCTTCTTCGTTTGTAGTAACGGTTTGTAGTGACGAAGGTAAACGAAATTTCACGAAAACGACCACCGAGGAAGAAAGAAGAGAAAGATATATATTACACTTACCCATAGATCGCGTCCTT